TTTGTATTTTTCTCATAGAAACGGAGTCTCGTGTTGCCTGGACTGGTCTCGAACTTCTGGGCTCACACCATCATCCCACCATGCCCAGCCTATTTTGTTTTTTTAAGAACAATATCTCTTGTATGAACTTAGCTCCAAGCGTATGCTCAGAAACCAGCCCTTCTTGGGGTGCAGTTTATATACGAGTTCATAGCCAGAAAGATTTAGAGGTGTTTCGGGCAAACCAGGTCCTCACAGGTGTCTTTCTGAAATAACCATTTTCTCCTTTTTACAACAAACCAGAGTGTTTAAGACTGAGACAACGATCTCAGATAATGTCTTTGAGGACCCTCACCCAAGGATTTACACACTCCTCTGGGGAGGAGGGAAAATGTAATGTGAAGAGCCAGAGTGCAACTGATCTGGCTTTGATCCTCTTTGGTCCACCCTGGCTGTGTCACCTTGAGCAAGGAATAGAGCCTCTGAGTCTCCCTCTCTGATTTCTGCTGCCTTAGGATTAGTCAGTTCAGTGAGACGATGTAATAAAGTGTGGGTGTATAGTACACTCTCGGTTGTAAGTGCTCTATAGTAATGTCAGCTACCGAGGCTGGGCATGGTGGCTCATGCTGGTAATCCCAGCACTTTGGGAAGCCGAGGTGGGAGGATCGCTTGAGGCCAAGAGTTCAAGACCAGCCCAGTCAACATGGCGAAACCCTGTCTCTACCAAAAATACAAAAAATTAGCCAGGCATGGTGGCATATGCTTGTAGTCCTAGCTACTCGGGAGGCTGAGGTGGGAGGATCGCTTGAGCCTGGGAGGTGGAGGCTGCAGTGAGCTGAGATTACATGACTACACTCCAGCCTGGGCAACAAAGCGAGACCCCGTCTCAAAAAAAATTTTTTTTTTTTTTTAATGTTAGCTACTGTGATGAAGTCTCTTTCTGAAAACTAGTTCTGTACAAGTTACTGTAATTCTTTCTACTTTTTGTGTGTAAACAAAGTCATTGTTTCTTTCAGGGATGATTCATGTAGGAATAGAGAGGGACTGGGGAAACCAGATGGGGCAGGTGGGAGGCAGAGTAAGGGATTTCCTTGTAGCTGGAAAAAAATGTAGCCCCAGAACACATTTTTCCCCTTGAATAAATAATGTGTGTGGATCATAAATAGAAAAATTTAGAAAGGCATAAATCTAAAAATTATATATATGTGATGTATAAGAAAAAGAGAGCAGCTGTGGAAGGGCTTCGTGGCTGATAGGCGTTAACTTGCATGTGAACACAGATATTAACAAGTAGAAATCTCATCCGTATGCACAGTGCCTTTGCATCATGCGTTCCCCGCCAGGTCATGTCTGTTCCATAGTTTCTGGTAAACTCTGGGCTGAGAAGAGACACAGGCTGGTAGCCCCTTCTGTTTTTAGGGGCCAAGATAATGGGGGAAAGGATTGCATTTGCAGTGATTTTCTTATACCGGTATCATCTTCAAGTCACAGCTACTTCTTTGCCTGAAGATGTAAGAACAGAGGATTGGAAAGATGGTTGCTCTAGATGACTCTTCATTCATCCATCCAACCATCCAAGTGTGCAGCTACAAAATTTATTGAACATCTGCTATTTGCCGGTCACTGTTTTAGGTACTGAGGATACACTGTGAACAAGACAGGCACAGTCCCTGCCTTCGTTGACTTCTGTTCTGCTTAGGACAAATCCAAGACAGCCCCTATTCTGTGCATACAGACCACCTTTGACTGCACCATAGGGTGGTGCAATTCTGCACAGTGTCATTGGTTTTATAGTTATCCCAAGGCCTGAATTGTCTGAAATGACATTCGGCACCTGAACTCTGACACCTTGGCACCTCCATAAATCTTGAAATTTCTCTGAGTTGTGGTGTGTAGGAAACCTTGAGGGACAACCGAGGAGTCACTGTGAGAGAAAGGATGTCCCAGGGAGTAAATAGATCTTACAGCTCAGACTGTAGGGACAGGAAGGTGGAAGGGTAGAGCTGGAACGAGTCTGGAAGCAGTGAGCTTCCCCAGAGTGCACCAGCGTTTTCAAGCTGTGCCTGCGCAGACAGGAGCAGGTCGAACAGAAATACGTTCAAAACCAGCTCCCGGCAAGGACAGGCAGGATGTCATTTTGCACCACAGCAAGTGGGCGAGAAGCAGCTCTCGAGCCTCAATGTGAGACGTCCCAGGAAACCACCTCCTCCTCCCACTCCCTCACTGCTGCCTGCCACAGCTGCCTCTAACCCAGCAAAGCAAAACTACAAAACATCTCTCTTCTCTCTTCCACCAGCCCTAAAATACCTAATGAGGCTCTCATAATTTGCCAGAACCCACATCTACTAGAGAAGCCAGCCCTTTTGTTTTAATTAAGATCCCCTTGGTTCGCCCACTTTGACCTTGGGCTTCATTGAGGCTGTGCCTGTCTTGTGCAGTGTTGCGTCCTCAGCAGGTAGAACGGTGCCTGGCACCTGGGAGGTGCTCAGTAAATGTTTGTTCATGCATAAATGAATCTGAGACCCACTGGCCTCTGGGAAGAGCATAGGAGAGGGGGACAACAGCATGAGGACCGTATGTTTGCCACCTTGCTGAAGGAATTTCAGCCAACATAGTAAGACATGAAAATGGCATTCGAGGTGTATTAGACGGAGAAGGGGAAGTTAATATTTGCAGGAGACTTAGTCTGCCTCAGTGATGTCAGTCAGCAGTGATTGTGATTCCCCAGGGGACGCTTGGCAGCTGCTGGAGACAGTTTAAACTTCCCCAGTGATCTGTGATGCACAGGAGACATTTTTGGTTGTCACACTGGGGGAGGAGGCTGCATGTCACTGGCATCTGTTGGGTGACACCTACAATGCCCAGGACAACCACAACAAATAATTCAGGCCCAAATGTTGCTGGTGCTGAAGGTGAGGTCCTAGTGTTAGTAACAGGAGGAAAACCCAGCAGTCTTGAGGAGAGGCCTCTCCCCGGGGCAGCCCAGGGGCCATCAGGAGGGTTCATCTCATGCATTAGAGGCCTTGGGAAGGAGGAGGCTTCCTTCCTTCCATCAAAGCAAGCAAATCCTTTGAAAGCTGCATCTCCAAGGGCTGCCCCGGGCTCATAGCAAGCAACCTCAGAGCCCAGAGGCGAGGCTGTGCCACTCAGCTGCCCTCTGGGGTCACAAAGGCATCACTTGGCTTCTAAGAGCTGATGAGGCCTCTCGCAAGGGATTCTGTGTGCATGGGCTGACCCTGAAACTTCCCAGCCTCTCTTCTCAAAGCACCCTCAGGTGACCTCTCGGGGGTTACCCCTCATTGATACCGTGTCTCCTCGTGTTTTTGTCCAGACTCCAATTCCAGGGTTTCAGAACCACATCGCAGCGTCTTTCCTGAAATACACTCAGACTCAGCCAGCAAAGACGTGCCTGGCCGCATCCTGCTGGATATAGACAATGATACCGAGAGCACGGCCCTGTGAAGAAAGCGCTCCCCAGCCCTCCGCCGCTTCCACCCTGGCACGTGGAGCAGGGGCAGGCAAACCTCTTCCTTTGCAGACAGAACAGTGAAAAGCTTTCAGTGGAGGACAAAGGAGGGCGTCACTGTGCGGGACCTGGCCTTCTGCACGGCCCTAGGAGCACCTGGAGGCCGCCACGGAAGCTGAATGACCTGTGTCTTGAAGAAGTTGGCTTTCTTCACAGGGGAAGGAAATAATGCCAAAAAAATCCAAAACAAAGAAATACCTGGAGTGGAGAGAGTGTTCCTGCTGAAACGTGCATAGGAAGCTTTTGCCCCTGCTGTTAACGCGGGCAGCACCTACAGCAACTTGGAATGAGTAAGAAGCAGTGCGTTAACTATCTATTTCATACAATGCGCTCTTTATGCGAGTGGCCTACTCTCTGCTACCTGGTCTTTCATTCTTCTGTATTAGGAGGGCGGCTGCTGCCCTTCAGACTTGCTGCAGAGTCATTTTGTGTCATTATCGTCTGTGTCTCCCCAGTCCCCTCAGAACCATGCCCTTGGATGGTGACTGCTGGCTCTGTCACCTCGTCAAACTGGATGTGACCCGTGCCGCCTCGTTGGATTGCCGGAATGTAGACGGAAATGTACTGTTCTTTTTTTTTTTTTTTTTTTTAAAAACAATGTAATTGCTACTTGATAAGGACCGAACATTATTCTAGTTTCATGTTTAATTTGAATTAAATATATTCTGTGGTTTATATGAAAACTTCATGATTCTTGGAGACACATTGTAGCGTGCGTGTGTGTGTGCATGAGTGTGTACGTGTTGCCACTCCACCAGATAGAACTGTGGCTGGGATATGTTGAGGGAGAAGGTCTAATTGTAGCTGTAGGAGTTTGAAGAAACAGAGAGCAAGGTCACAGCAGTGAAAAAGGCCACCAGGTGCCCCAGAGACCTCCTAGACTGGCCATCCCTCAGTGCAGGTTCTGGTCGAGGCTGCACCCTTGGTCCTCCCAGTGCTGGCATCCCTTTCTTTCCATCTAGAGATACTCAGACTCCCGGGGCAGCTCACAGGAGCTCAGCCGCACTGGGTTGGTGCATTCGTCAGCAGCTGTAAATTGCCATGGAGAGCCCCTCTTCCAATGGCTGGTGCTTTCATGCCCTATCCAAGGCGTGAAAATTATCCCGTCTCTGCCAGGATTGAAATACTAGGGGAGAGCTGATGGGGAATTGGAACAAAGTGAGACTGAGGCTCTGGACAACTCGTCTCATGATAGCACCTTCCTTCCCTGTGACCCAGATAAGGCCATTTTCTCTCGGGAACAGAGCAGGACACGCTGCCAGAGTTGGCTGCCCTGAGCCTTCTATTGATCAAGTTTGCTAAGTGTGTCAGTGTCTTAAGTCCCTGCTTAGAAGACACTGGACCTCTTTCCACTACAAACTGACTTAAGCCTGATTTAAAAAGGGCAATCACATTTCCCTTGTTGTTTTTTTGAAACAGATCTCACTCCGTGGCCCAGGCTGAAGTGCAGCGGCACAGTCATAACTCACCGCAGCCTCCAAACTCCTGGGCTCAAACCATCCTCCCAACTCAGCTTCCGGAGTAGCTGAGACTACAGGTGCGTGGCAATACACCCAACTAATTTTTAAATAATTTTTTCTAGAGACAGGGATCTTGCTGTGTTGCCCAGGCTGGTCTTCAGTTCTAGCCTCAAGCAGTCCTCTCACTTCAGCCTCCGAAAGTGCTGGGATTACAGGTGTGAGCCACCATGCGCAGCCCACATTTTCATCTTTACTCAGTTTCCTATGCCTTCAAAGTACTCCCTACATTAATTACCTTGAAAATATGCTCCTGTAAGCCCATTTGCCCCCATATCTTGAATGTTCATCGGCTTAGGGCTCACTCTTCCCCTGTGCCACCCGTGTGTTGTTAATTTTCTGTACCCTCCGTTAGCCACAGAACAAACCCTGCAGAGAAAGTGAAGCCTCTGTGTAGGCCGATGCTCCATGTTGAGCACCTTCTCCAGGAGCCCGGCTGTCCACAGTCAGGTGTCTCCATGGAGCCTCCGAGATGCTCCCATCATGATGCCTGAACTTGTCCTCCAGAGGAAGCAGGGATGTAGGCGCTTGTCAAGGAGATGCTGTTGGCACCTGGGGACGAGGAACATCCGTGCTGACATCCTGCCCAGAATGAATGTAGCATGTGTTCGTCATTGCTGATTCTGAAGTACAGGAAACACTACCTCATTATTTTAAGAGCCTCATTCAGTTTTTACTCTCCTATTGTTTGCAGCAATCTTCCTACCCTGACAGCTGCAAACTTCAAAACAATGAAAATCATTTGACTCTGTGTATGTGTCAAAGGTAAAGACCACCCTTTGGGAGGCCGAGGCAGGAGGATCACTTGATGTCAGGAGTTCGAGACCAGCCTGGTCAACATGGTGAAACCCCATCTCTACTAAAGATACAAAAAATTAACTTGGCACTGTGGCGGGCGCCAGTAATTCCAGCTACTTAGGAGGCTGAGACAGGAGAATCATTTGAACCTGGGAGACAGAGGCTACAGTGAGCCAAGATCACGCCAGTGCACTCCAGCCTGGGCAATAAAGTGAGACTCTGTCTCAAAAAAAAAAAAAAAGAAAAAAAAGAAAGGACCAAACAGAACTATGTAGTGTGAGGTACATGGCTCAGCATCCCACCGGCAGGGCCAGGAGAGGCACCTGGATCCTCTCTCTTTGCCATTCCTGTGACCTGGGATTCCCTCTGCTGGGGGCATTGTGCTGCGTTGGCACTGCACACGGTACACTGTTTCCAGCCTGCCCACCGTCAGAGAGGTAGAGAATCTGAACCCATAGTGGCCATTTCTGGCCGTCCAGAAGGGCGCTGGCCATCTGCCCTTCAGATTGTTTCCTTCCCTTCTCTACCCAGTAGTTTCTTATAGGAAGAGGCCCTTGCGCTCAGACTTCCTGTCCCTGCTCCCCCAGCTGAACCATCTCTTCTAAAAAAAAATTCAGATGCTGTAGGAGTGACCCCATCCTGGACCGTTGTGATAGCCCTGGTTCTCTGGGAGCTCCGTGGACCGACTCCCGTTCCTCTGTTGGGGCTGCAGTTCTCAGTGCTCTCCCAAGCCCAGTGAGTCCCGCAAGTGCTCCTATTTGAAGGTCTTAAGACAAACTCTCCTGGTTTCTCCCTGAGGTCTCCTCCCACCATTTCCCCACCATATTCCGGCGCCTCTGGCCTCTGGGACCCACAGTCTCAGGGTTTTGCATCAGACTGGGCAGCAAGCACCTCACTCATAGGGATGCGTCTCAGCCAAGGGCTTGCACTTCTCTCGTATCTCGTTGGTGGAGCTAGAGAGGAGGAGATGTGCTGGTGTGGCAAAGCCACAGTGTCTGGTGCTGCCAAAGGCAAGAAGTGACCAAGACCACTTGAGCTGCCAGCTAAGGGAGTGGGGGAGCAAGTCAAGGACTCCCTTAGTTTCCCCACTGCCCACAGCAGGCTGCACACGTGGCCATCCCCACCCTGTCCCACATGGGTTCGCACAGGCGTGGGCCCTGAGTCTCTTCCCCAGCAGGCAGGACCCCTGTCTCCCGGCACGGAGCTGTGGGTGCCCTCCTGCCACCACCGTGGATTCTGTGTAGCAGAGAAAACCTGCCTGCAGAGGGAGAAGTCAGCAGATACGCGGAGAGGCAGAGACAAAAGATGAGAGGGGGAGAGTACAGGGCTTGGTGTTTAAAACCCTCCCAGCTCCCGGTTCGTGTCCCTGAAGCCATTCTGCATTTCTTGCCTTTGAATGCTCACGATAAAGTGCTTGATTGTTTTTGGCACAAGCGTTCCTCTTTGGGTTTGTTTCTCTTACTGGCAACCAAATGACTTCTACCTGATTCCCTCCAGAGGAGGTACATGGCTGTGTAGACCCCACACAGCTGTGCAGGCAACTGTCTTCCTCCCACACCCTCTCCAGCCAGCCCCTCCTTTACATCCACACATGCGTTCACACACCGTGCCCCTCGTGTCAGTTATCCAGTGCAGCATGACAGATGGCCACATACTTAGCAGCTTACAACAACACGTTCATTTTCTCATAGCCCCTGTGGGTCAGGACTCCAGGCACAGCTTCTCTGGGTCCTCTGTCCAGGGTTTTCATCCGCTGCAGTCAAGGCAGCAGCCAGGGCTGGGGTCTTATCTTGAGGCTGGACTGGGGAAGGATCCACTTCCCAGGAAGTAGGGATTATTGAGGGTCACCTTAGGGTCTGTGCTTCACACATGAAACATCATCACAAATGACATGTGGGGAGGGTGATATTTGATACAAGGAAGAACCTCCCTCAAACCTAACAAAAAACATCAGGGTTCTATTTTCACTCTTTCTACTTGTATTTAAATTTGGGGTTTTTAATTGTCATTCTATTTGTTTAAGATGGAATCTTGATCTGTTGCCCAGGCTGGAGTGCAGTGGCATGATCTCGGCTCACTGCTACCCCCGCCTCCCAAGTTTAAGCCATTCTCCTGCCTCAGCCTCCCAAGTAGCTGGGACTACAGGCACCCACCACCGTGCCCGGCTAATTTTTGTATTTTTAGTGGAGATGAGGTTTCGATATGTTGGCCAGGCTGGTCTTAAACTCCTGACCTCAGGTGATCCACTCACCTTGGCCTCCTGAAGTGCTGGGATTGCAGATGTTAGCCACTGCACCTGGCCTGAATTCAGTTTCTATGCACATCTGTAAATTGTATTTTCACTGCACTGTTTTTTTTAATTGATAAAAGTTATGGTATACGACATGTTTTTGTATATGTATACATTGCAGAATGGTTAAATCAAGCTAATTAACATATCCATCACCTCCATTATTTATTTTTTGTGGTGAGAACGTTTAAAATCTCTCAGCTGGCTGGGCACAGTGGCTCACGCCTTAATCCCAGCACTTTGAGACATTGAGGTGGGCAGATTGCTTGAAGCCAGGAGTTTGAGACCAGCCAGGGCAACATAGTAAGACCCCATCTACAAAAAAAATTAAAATTAGCCAGGTATGGTGGCCAAATGCCTGTAGTTCCAGCTACTCAAGAGGCTGAGGCAGGAGTTGAAAGCTCCAGTGAGCCATGATCATACCAATGCACTCCAGCCTGGGTGACAAAGTGCAAGACCCTGTCTGTAAACAGAAAAAAAAAAAAAAGGCAATATTTGGGGGCTCACACCTGTAATCCCAGCACTTTGGGAGGCCAAGGCAGGTGGATCACATTAGCCCAGGAGTTGGAGACCAGCCTGGGCAATATGGCAAAATGCCCCCTCCACAAAGTACAACAACAACAAAATTGCCAGGCATGGTGGTGTGTACCTGTAGTCCCAGCTACCCAGGAGACTGAGGTGGGAGGATCCCCTGAGCCTAGGAGTTCGAGGCTGCGTTGAGCCATGGTCGCACCCTGCATTCCAGCCTGGGCAACAGAGAGAGACCCTGTCCAAAAACAAAAACAAACAAACAAAAAAGGAATGCAAAGGATTGCAGACTTCATCCTGAGTGTGGGAAGGTCACTGAAGGATTCCAAGCAGAGGATTGGCTTGATCCGAGTTGCCTACCCTGCCAGTGGCTGGAGAATGGGGAAGACTGGATGTGCGAAGGTCAGTCAGGAGGCCAGGCAGAGATGGGGGTGGCCTGAGCGATCATAGTGACAGCTCAATGTGTTCCTGCTGAAACATACTGTTGACCCCAGCCAGAGGCAACAGAGGTCTCGGTGTGAGGGGCAGGCTTGGACGGGGAGCTCAGGACTGTAGTGGAAGCCCCCCATGCCGCCCACTCCCCTCCTTTGGGCCTTGGAGGCAGAAGCTCAGCCTCCTCGGTGAAGACTGCTCCTTGAGCCCACTTGCTCCAGAACCATCCCAAGCTCCTGCCTAGAGCCATGTTAACAGCCAGTTCCCCACCCATACCCTTTCCCAGGACGGCTGGGGGTGCCCTTTGTCCAGCCCACCGCTGCTGCTTGGATTCGTGTAGAGAGCTGGGCCTTCTGAGCAGAGTGGGGACTGGGCCAATACATTTGCCTGTGCACCAGGCCAGTCCCAGCTGTTGGCATCAAGTAGGAACCGGAAAGACATCACTGGAGGATTAAGTGGGTAAGCAGCCCCTCAGCCCCGGGGGGTCCTGTTTATTTTCCTCTGGCCTGGAAATTGGGGTCCCCCGAGAGACTCCTCTGCTTTCCAGCTCTGTCAGGCCAGGAAGAGGCTCTAGTCCATCCCACCACCCGACCTTATCCCAGGCCTGGATGGTTCATGGCCCTGGGCTACTCCAGAGATGGTCTCAGGGCTCACTGGGTTGGCCCTGCCTGCTCTTAGCTCTGCACGTGGCAAACGCAGCCCTAATGGGTCATTCCATCAGACTCCATCGGGCCCAAAGCGGGAAAGCTGAGGAGGCTGGCTCCACCCAGAACAGGAGGCCACTGCCCTGCAGGTGAAAGCCTTACTGGCCTTTGGTGGGGAAGTTCATTGAGATGCCCATCCACCTGGCTTCTGCTTTTTAGGGAAACATCATCCTGGGGAAGTAAGCAAAGAAACAGTCTAAGGCTGGGTGCGTGGCTCATGCCTGTAATCCCAGCACTTTGGGAGGCCAAGGCAAGAGGGTTGCTTGAGCCCAGGAGTTTTGAGACCAGCTCAGGCAACATAGGAGAGAGCAGCCCCCTATGTCTCTGCAGATAAATTTTAAAAATTAGCCAGACATGGTGGTGCATGGCTATAGTCCCAACTACTCAGGAGGCTGAGACAGGAGGATCATATGAGCCCAGGAAGTCAAGGCTGCAGTGAGCCGTCAGGGCGCCACTACAGTCCAGCCTGGGTGACAGTGAGACCCTGTCTCAGAAACAAAGCAGTCTAAGCCAGAACTTGAGAAGTGCACACAATTCCCTGATTTTCTTATAGCACAAGATTTCAGAGTACCAACTCGGATCTATTTCCAAGAAATATCTAGGAGGAAGTATCACAGTGAGAAAACTCTTGGGGACCTTCACCCAAAGCCAGCCATAGTGGAAGGCAAGAGATAGAATGCAGGTCCCATTCTTCGCACTGTGAAGATGAGCTGGGCAAGTTCGAATGCCAAAAGGTCCTGTGAGTCCCTTTGCTTTTTTATCCCTTTGAATTTGGGTATTGATGTTACACAATGGATAAGAAGAATGAATAACTGTCTTTTGCGAAAGGAAGCGTTTACATGTCTCTCCTCTTTCCATCTTCTAACCTTCATTATTTTCAAGAAGAAAAGAGGCTGGGCGTGGTGGCTCATGCCAATAATCCTAGTACTTTGGGAGGCTGAGGTGGGGGGATCACTTGAGGCCACTTGAGATCACTTGAGGCCAGGAGTTCAGGACCAGCCTGGGCAACATAGACCACATCTCTTTAAAAAAAGAAAAAATTAGGTAGGCATGGTGGTGTGTACCTGTAGTCCTAGAAACTTGGGAGGCTGAGGAGGGAGGATCACTTGAGCCCAGGAGTTTGAGGTTGCAGTGAACTATGACCATGCCACTGCACTCTAGCCTGGGTGACAGAGCGAGACACTGTCTCAAAAAAAAAAAAAGAAAAAAGAAAAGAACTAAGTGTCATGTTGAAAATGATCTATAGACAGTTGGAAACCTTGTGGTAAACAAACAAAAGCTTTATTCTTTTTTCTTTCATTAAAAAAATGGAGCATTGAAGAGAAACGGCCTTCGAACCCCCGGGTTCACCCCACACTAAGCAAAGTAGCCCCAGATAAAGATGGCGCAGGTCACGCAGAAAATAAGGTTGATGTCCAGGAGGGTCTTCACCAAGGGGTTTTCTTCCAGGGAAACTATGATGGGTTCTGCTCTGGCCGGGAGCTCTTCCTTGCCCTTGTCCTGTATTCCGCAGAGCCACAGGATGGCCTTCACCACTTTGGACTGCTTCGGGGTCATGTCACCTAGAAAGAATCCAGCAAAGGAAGACCTTAGAGGTGGTCTGTGTCTCCCAGAGAGGCGAGACGGGGACACTCACCAGGTGTGTTCAAGTGCTGGGATTACAGGCATGAACCACCAGGCCTGGCTGAAATCTCCCAATTTTTTTTTTTTTTTTTTTTTTTTTTAAGACAGAGTCTCACTCTGTCACCCAGGCTGGAGTGCAGTGGCGCGATCTCGGCTCACTGCAATGTCCACCTCCCAGGTTCCAGTGATTCTCCTGCCTCAGCCTGCCATGTAGCTGGAACTATAGGCATGCGCTACCATGCCCGGCTAATTTTTATATTTTTAGTAGAGATAGGGTTTCACCATGTTGGCCAGGCTGGTCTCGAACTCCTAACTTCAAGTGATCCACCTGCCTCGGCCTGCCAAAGTGCTGGGATTACAGGCTTGAGTCACGGCGCCCAGCCGAAATCTCTCAATTTTTAAATGTTAACTCACATTTTATTGAAACTGTAGGTGGGCCAAGCCAAAATATGTCTGCAAGCCGCCAGTTTAGAAGCACTGAGAGAAGGCACGTCGTGTTCCTGCCTGCCCATGTGTGGAACATGAGGATGAAATGAACCGTGTCTTCATAGGCACTCAACAAGTGTTTGTTTACTCTTAGTGCCTGTAGGAAGCTTCTGTTGAAAGTTAGTAAAAACTCCTTTCCCATGGCCAGAGCGTGGGGACGGATCAGACACTGGAGCCAGAAGATGCTAAAACTCCAAGTCTGCCCACTTTCCTGGCTTGTAATTTGATAGGAAAAAAAAAAAAATCCCCTTAACACGTAATGCTTCTTGCTGTAACTGAGGAGAGAGGCTACTCACAGCTGTGGGTTTTAGGCATGTTTTCTTGGACCATCTCGAACTGGACTCTGCTGCTGCTGCTGGCCTCTGGCATCCCGTTCTGAGAGAGGGCAAGAGACAACGGAGCTGCTGGTGGCGCTGGTTCCTTCTGGACCACAGGGTCATGACGAGTAAACCAGGTCAGGTGGCTGACCTAAGGAGCAGGAATGAATGATGAGATTTGTGGTGGAGGTGGGGCCGGGGTTTTCCATCCTTTTCTCACACTCCCCACCCAACCCCACACTCAGCCTTTGTGTCTGCATCTGCTCCCAGCCCCACCCTCCCACCCCATCCTCCAACAAGCGTCACGTCCCTGCGCTCTTCAGCATGAGCGCACAATTTCCCTGCTCATTCCCACGTCTTTCTCCGATAAACCCCATCCTCATGTTGCTGGGATGTGATTATCCCTCATTCTAATCCCCAGAGCTTAACCCTCACCCTAGAATATTGCGAGACCCCAGAATTGGTCATTTCAGCTCATCCATTTCTCTGGCCACAGGGATTGAATTCCGCAGAGCCACAGGATGGCCTTCACCGCTTTGGACTGCTTCTGGGTTCGCGGATGAGCATGTGTCCTGAGCTGACTCCATCAGTGGGAATCTAGAACTTCTCTAGAAATTCTGGGACAGAAATACTTATGCTTATTTTTACCTTTTTTTTTTTTAAGGCAGGCTCTTGTTCTGTCACCCAGGTGGGAGTGCGGTGGCATGGACATAGCTCACTGCAGCCTTAAACTCCTGGGCTGAAGCAGTTGTCCCACCTCAGCCTCCCTAGTAGCTGGGATTATAGGCATGAGCCATCACGCCCTGCTAATTTTTTTCTTTTCTTTTCTTTTTCTTTTTCTTTTTCTTTCTTTTTTTTTTGTGAGACAGGGTCTTGCTCTGTCACCCAGGCTGGAGTACAGTGGCATGGTCATAGCTCACTGCATCGTCCAACTCCTGGGCTCTGGCAATCCTCCCCTCTCAGCCTCCCTAGTAACTGAGATTACAGGCGTGAGCCATCACACCCTGCTAATTTTTTCATTTTTTAAAGAGATGGGTTCTCACTATGTTGCCCAGGCTGGTCTCGAACTCCTGGCCTCAAGTGATCCTCCCACCTCAGCTTCCTGAAGTGCTGGGATTACAGGAATGAGCCGCCGCACCCCAGCCTTATGTTTACTTAATGACAGTAAAAGAGGATATCTCTGTAGAAGGTACTGGGCTCCATATGGGACGTAAGAATCAAAGCAGAAGTGCAGATGGATTCTGATGACCTTTGCAAAGTCCTGAATAATCCTGCCCCTGAACCCCAACCCTGGACTTTTCAGCTGTTTGGACAATCAGTCTCCTTCACTTAAGTCAGTGTGGGTCAGTTTTCTGTCACTTCCAACAAAAAGTCTCAACAGATCTAGCCATCAGCCCAAACGTACCATCTCCTTGGAGGGCGACTCTGTGAACCAGCTCACGGTGGAGACAGTGATGAGGGTGACCGTGGTCAGGATCATGGAGAAGTAGAGGTAGTGGATGCTCTTCACCAGGACCGGGCGCTCATCTGGCTGGTCGCACCGAGGCTGCACGTAAATAAAGTCCAGGACCAGCCTAATCAAGCCCAGGAGCAGGCCCGAGATCAGGCCCCAGAAGGCACCCTGCAACATCAGAGCAAGATCGTCTTAGAGACGCCAAGGGCTCTGGCCTCCAGGAACCTCAAGAGGCCATCTCCAGGGCTTGTCTTTCTTGTGGTGGTCACTGCACGCATGGGTCAGCAATTCGGAAGGGTTCTGCAATACTGAACCATTTATCTTTTTATAATGAATCGACTACTAATAGATTACTAACACCCTCTTAATTTAGCTTCCCTGTTCAATAACAAAAAATGCATCAGATACTTTTGATGAGAACCTCTCACTGCTTTTTTTTTTTTTTTTTTTTTTTTGAGAGACAGAGTCTCACTCTGTCGCCCGGGCTGGAGTGCAGTGGTGCAGTCTCAGCTCACTGCAACCTCTGCCTCCCAGGTTCCAGTGATTCTCCTGCCTCAGCATCTGAGTAGCTGGGATTACAGGCACCCACCACCACACCGGGCTCATTTTTATATTTTGTGTAGAGGTGGGGTTTCGCCATGTTGGCCAGGCTGGTCTCGAACTCCCAACCTCAAGTGATCCACCCACCTCAGCCTCCCAAAGTGCTGGGATTACAGGTGTGAGCCATCGCAGCAGCCCTCTCATTGCTTTCTTGCAAAGGTCAGATAAACACCCTCTCTGTATCTTCCACCATGAAACTCACCCTCCCTCTCAACACCCAAGTCCAGCCTGTATCTCCCTCCAGTGCCCTCCCCTCCCATCCTATCCCAGTCCTCAAGGGGCAGCACTTGGTTCTGGCCTAGTGGGAGCAGTCCAGAGCTACCTTTTCATTGGTCCTCTTCCAGAAACATCCCATGATGAAGACCACCGCCACGGGCGGCTGCAGGTAGGAGCTGATGGACTGGATGTAGATGAAGAGCTGGCCACCTTGGCTGGCCTGGACCACAGGGATCCATAGGATGGAGACCAGGACCAGCAGCAGCACAAACACCCTGGTGCCAGCGGCGAGAGGCACAAATTAGCATCATCTTCCCTGAACATTTACTCCTCTTTCTCTCTCTCTTTTTTAATAGGGTCTTGTTCTGTTGCCAAGGCTGGGGTGCAGTGGTGAGAGCATAGCTCACTGCAGCCTCCAACTCCTGGGCTCAAGTGATCCTCCTGCCTCAGCCTCCCAAGTAACTGGGATTACAGACACATGCCAACGCTCCCAGCTTATTTTATTTTATGATTTTGAGACAGAGTCTCACTCTGTCACCCAGGCTAGAGTGCAGTGTGCCATCTTGGCTCACTGCAACCTCCGCCTCCTGGGTTCAAATGATGGTCCTGCCTCAGCCTCCTGAGTAGCTGAGATTACAGGCACCTGCCACCACAGCTAATTTGTGTATTTTTAGTAGAGACGGGGTTTCACCATGTTGGCCAGCCTGGTCTTGAACACCTGACCTCAAGTGATCCACCGGCCTGGCCTCCCAAAGTGCTGTGATTACAGGTGTGAGCCACCTCGCCCAGCTGGGTTATAATTATTTGCTTATTCTCTTCCTTCCCTAGCTCCATAAAGGCAAGAACTGAGCCCTTTCATGGTTACGTGCCCTGTGCCTGGTACAGAGTAGGTGCTCGTTGAGCATCTCCTGAATGAACCAATGTGTTGCACGTGGAGTCCTAACGCTCTTCAGCCTGGATAAGTTGCCGACTGGACCTGGACTTTGCCTCGGGGTGGGCTCAGCTCTCTCTTCCCCCTGCCCCAGCCCCACCCAGTAGGGACTTACCTGCCTACAATCATGAGCTCCTTCTCAGATGCCCGAGGCCGGAGGTGATTCCAGAGGTCCATGGTGAAGATGGTGCTGGCACTGTTAAAGATGGAGGTGAGGGAGGACATGAGAGCCGCCACCATCACAGCCATCATCAGCCCACGGAGCCCTGGGGGCGGAAGGGAGGTCATGGGCCTCGGCCCTTTTCTGCCAAAGCAGCCGATCCCAGTGGGCTCAACTGGAGGAGGCAGAACCTCAGGGAGGACGGCGGGGCAGAGCTTCCTGCAGGACTCAGCCTTTCATGGGGAGCCTAGAGCCTGTTCCTCCCTCCAGCCCTCCCTTCTTGGCCCTGCCTTGGATCAGAGCCCATCCAGTGATCTCCTTTCTGGGTGCTCCAGGGGACTTGATGCAGGGGTGAAGGGACTTTACCTGTGGGCAGGAGTTCCAGCACGAGTTTGGGATACGCGATGTCAGAACAGCCCGAGGGGTTGCTGCAGATCTTCCGGCAGATCTCGGGATCTGCACAAGCCACTTGATCTACGGAGGAAACACAGGCCCAGAGGTGAGCAGTCAGGCCCGCAGAGCCCCAGGCCCAGGCAACATGGGGCCGGACACAGGCTTATCATGTGGAAGTTTATAGCTCAATGAGATAAAAGAGAGTCTAGACTTTTATAAGCTGTGACCTTGTTACTTATGCTTTCTCAGACGAGTTGCCCTGTTTGTAAAACTAGGATAATAACATGACTTTATAGGAAGTGCTGGAAAAACTTCAGCTATTGTTATCATAACCCAGATGAAGCTGGGACACCTAGTGGCTAGTGGCCAGTCTTACAATAATGTCTTTTTTTTTTTGAGACGGAGCCTCTTGCTGTGTCGCCCAGGCTGGAGTGCAGTGGCATGATCTCAGCTCACTGCAACCTCCGCTTGCCAGGTTCAAATGATTCTCCTGCCTCAGCCTCCTGAGAAGCTGGGATTACAGGCACCCACCACCACGCCCGGCTAATTTTTGTATTTTCAGTAGAGATGGCTTTTTGCCACGTTGGCCAGGCTGGTCTCGAACTCCTGACCTCAAGTGATCTGCCCATGATGATTAACTCACTTTTCAGTAACAGCTGCTCACCTGTCCTGGGCTAGTGAATCATTTCCTATATGGAGTATATTCTCTTGTCAGAATGCTTGACACCCTCTGATGCCTGAAATAAGATGCCTCTAGCCCAGTTAAATCCAAACATAGCACAAAACCTTCTTCTTCCACAAACCCAACATTAACTGAAGGTATACTATGACTCAGGAGCTTCAGTAAGCTTTGTACATATACCTCATTTAATTTTTACAACTCTATGGGGAAGATACTGTTATTACTCCTATTTCAAAGACAGATAAACTGAGGCCCAGAGGTTAGTTTCTCCAGATTATATTGCTAGTAAGTATTATGGCCAGGAGGCAAACCCTTAGTTTATTTCAAAGCTCAGGTAGAGAAGATTGGCTTTGTAAATACTGCATTTCTAAACTCTGTGTGGGTGTGTGTGTGGGTGGGTGGGTGTGGGTGTGTGCGTGTGTTTTTGAGACAGGGTCTTGTTCTGTCGCCCAGGCTGGAGTTCAGTGGTGCGATCTTGGCTCACTGCAACCCCAGCCTCCCAGACTCCAGCCTCCCGAGTAGCTGGAATTACAGGCAGGCACCATCACACCCAGCTAATTTCTTTTTCTTTTTTAAAACTAATTAATTTTTTATTTTTATTTTTATTTTTTCTTGAGACGGAATCTCACTGTTACCCAGACTAGAGTACAGTCGCACAGTCTCGGCTCACTGCAACTTCCACCTCTGGGTTCAAGTGATTCTCCTGCCTCAGCCTCCCAGCCTGTAGCTGATATTACAGGCGTGCCACCACACCCAGGTTTTTTGGGGGGTTTTTTTTTTTGTTTTTTTTTTTTTTTTTTTTAGTAGAGACGGGGTTTCATCACGTTGCCCAGGCTGGCCTCGACCTCCTGGCCTCAAGCGTTCCTCCCGCCTTGGCTTCCCAAAGTGCTGGGATTGTGTTTGGAGGGTTGTTTTGCTTCTCTCTTAATTTCCATATAGTTTCTTTAAAAATATGTGCCATTTCTCATGGATGAAGCTGGAAACCATCATTCCCAGCAAACTAACACAGGAACAGAAAACCAAACACCACATGTTCTCACTCATAAGCGGGAGTTAAACAATGAGAACACATGGACACAGGGAGGGGAATATCACACACTGGGGTCTGTCTGGGGGTTGGGAGGAAGGGGAGGGAGAGCATTAGAACAAATACCTAATGCATGTGGAGCTTAAAACCTAGGTGACAGGTTGATGGGTGCAGCAAACCACCATGGCACGTGTATACCTATGTAACAAACCTGCACGTTCTGCACATGTATCCCAGAACTTAAAGTTTAATGAAAAAATAAAAAATAAAAATATGTGCCATTTCTCAGATGGGTTTAGCGGAAGAGGGTTTTTTCCCAGGCTCACCAGAACTCAGGATCAGAAAATACTTTTATGCAGCTGTGGACTCAGTTGAAGGTTTAGGAGGGAGCTGCTGGAGTCATGGTGGAGACAGAAGTGGAAATAGGGAGGCCGAGTGCTTTGTCCTGAAACTGGCACTTTAGACCTGGGGTTCTCAACCTTCTAGTGGACTTGTTAAAAAACAGGTGGCTGGCACAGACATATGAAAAAGTGGTTAACATCACTAATCATCAAGGAAATGCAAATCAAAACCTCATGAGATACCATCTCACCCTAGTTAGAACGGGGATCATCAAAAAGACAAAACATAATAAATGCTGGTGAAGATGTGAAGAACGAGGGGAACCCTTATACATTGTTGGTGGAGATGTAAGTTACTACAGCTAGTATGGAAAACTGTATGGAGGTTCCTCAAAAAACTAAGAACTACCATACGATCCAGCAATTTTGCTACTGGGCATATATCCTGATATGGTTTGGCTCTGTGTCCCCACTCAAATCTCATCTCGAATTGTCATCTCCACATGTTAAGGGAGGGAACTGTAATCCTCACATGTCGAGGGAGGGAGGTGATTGGATCATGGGGGCAGTTCCCCCATGTGTACTCATGATAGTGAGTGAGTTCTCAGGAGATCTGATGGTTTTATAAACATCTGTGATTTTCTGAGTTTGGACTTCTCTCTCCTGCCACCATGTGAAGAAGGTCCTTGCTTCCCCTTTGCCTTCCACCATGACTGTAAGTTTCCTGAGGCCTCTCCAACCATATGCAACTGTCAATCAATTAAACCTCTTTCCTTTATAAATTACCCAGTCTCAGGTAATATCTTTATAGCAGTGGGAAAATGGACTAATACATATCCAAAGCAATTGGAATCAGTATAGCAAATGGATACCTGCACCCCATTTATTGCAATGCTATTCACAATAACCAACATATGGAATCAACCTAAGTGTCTGTCAACAGATGAATGGGTAAAGAAAATGTGGTACATATATACAGTGGACTACTATTTAGCCATAAAAAAAGAATGAAATTCTTTTTCATGTTCATTCATGGCAACATGGATGAACTTGGAGAATATTATGTTAAGTGAAATAAGCCAGGCACAGAAAGATAAATACTGCATACTCTCACTCATATGTGGAAGCTTAAAAAGTTGAGCTCATGGAAGTAGACAGTAGGATAGTGGTTTCTAGAGGCTGGGAAGGGTAGTGGGGAGGAGGGTAGCCAAAAGTTGGTTAATGGATAGAAAAGCACAGCTAGAAAAGAGGAATAGTGTTTAGTGTTCTATAGCACTATAGGGTGACTATAATTCACAACAATTTATTGTACATTTTCAAATAGTTGAGAGTAGATTTTGATTGCCCCCAACACGAAGGAATAATAAATATTTGAGGTGATAGATAAGCTAATTACACTGATGTGGTCATTACACATTGTATAATGTATCAAAATATCACACTGTACCTTGTAAGTATGTACAATTTATATAAAAATAATTAGTTAAAAACATTAAAAGTTAAAAATAGTAAGAGAAAAAAAAAAAAAACAAACAGATGTTCCTCCAGGAATTCTGATTCAGAAGGTTTTGAATGGGGACTGAAAGTTGGCGCCTCTAACAAGTTCTCAGGAGCCACGGCTAGACTGGGGACCACACTTTGAATAGCACTGGTCTGGGCCTCCAGAGAAGGGAGAGGGACTTCAAATACACAATGCCCACCTCACTCCTCTAACTCACCTTACTCTCTAAAATTTATTTTGCACCTCTCACTTGTACCATATGACAGAGTATTTCAATTTATAGTTTATGTTATTTTTCCATGAGTACGAGACTCATCTCCTACATTAAAAGTCGTAGGTTCATGGAACATGGTGTTGTGTCTCATTTAATAATGCCTGTTGGCTGGATGTGGTGACTCATGCCTGTAATTCTAACACTTTGGGAGGCGGAGGTGGGTGGATCACCTGAGGTCAAGAGTTTGAGACCAGCCTGATTAACATGGAGAAACCCCATGTCTACTAAAAATATGAAATTAACTGGGGGTGTGGCACATGCCTGTAATCCCAGCTACTCAGGAGGCGGAGGCAGGAGAATCGCTTGAACCCGGGAGGCGGAGGTTGCAGTGAGTGAGTGGAGATCACGCCATTGCACTCTAGCCTGGGCAACATGAGCAAAACTCTGTCTCAAAAAAAAATAAAAAAATTGATTGGCTGATTGGCTGTTAAGACAGATGGTCAAGGTCTTGTTATTGATCTTCCATATATCAATCCAGGTCTTCAGATATAATTTGCAAGAGTAAGAGTCAAGTTTTGGAGTCAGCTACATCTGGGTTCAAATCTGGGCTCATCTGGCACTAGCTCAGTAACTCCCAGAAAGGCATTTAGCTTAGGAGTGATCCTGGATTCCTTTTTTTCCCCCTTAACCCTTACATCCAATCCATTATTAATCTGATTGGCTCTATGGTGTACTTTCAAATCACTGCATGGGTCAACTGTTGCCTCCTCAGAAAGGACTTCCCGGGAAACCCTGTCAGAAGTAGCTCTGGTCTGACATTCTTTTTGATATCGCCTTGTGCATCCTCCTCCTGGAATTTAGCACAGTCAAAAATTATTTATTTTTTTACTCTTTTTTGAAACACAGTCTCACTTTGTCACCCAGTCTGGAATGCAGTGGCTCGAACACAGCTCACTGCAGCCTCAACCTCCCAGGCTCAAGTGATTCTCCCACTTCAGCCTCCTGAGTAGCTGGGACTACTGTGTGTGTGTATTTTTTTTTCTAGAGATGGGGTCTTGCCATGTTACCCAGGCTGGTCTCAAACTCCTGGGCTCAAGCAATCTTCCTGCCTTGGCCTCCCAAAGGGCTGGGATTACAGGTGTGAGCCACTGCACCTGGTCTTATTTATTTACTTATTTCTGTCTTTGTCCTCCACCACTAGGATGTAAGACCCTCTACAGTAAGGATCCTGTAGTCTCGTTCACTTATGGGCCCCCAGAGTCTTCTAGAATAACACTTGGAAGATAATTGACCTCAAAATATTTGTTGAATTCATGGAAGAATAAATAAATGAGTGAATGAATGATTTTTTTTTGAAACAAGGTCTCACTTTGTCACCCAGGCTGGAGTGCAGTGATCATGGCTCACTGCAGCCTCGACCTCCCATGTTGCTGGGACTATAAGCAAATACCACCATGCCTGGCTAATTTTCATATTTTTTGTAGATACGGGGTTTCATCATGTTGCCCAGGCTGGTCTCAAACTGCTGAGCTCAAGCGATCTGCCTGCCTTGGCCTCCCAAAGTTCTGGGATTATAGGTGTGAGCCATCACGCCTGGCCAAATGAATTAATTTCTTTAAGCTTCAATTTCCTCATCTGTAAGATGAAAAGAATAATAGTACCTACCATATAAAGTTGTTTTGAGGAAGAAATGAGGTAATACATGTATAAAATAATAATAGTAAACACTTGACTAGAGGTTACTGTGTACCTCTATACCAGGAACTGCTTTAAGCCTTGTAAAATATTACCCCCATTATACAAGTGAGGAAACAGAAGCAAAGAGACATTAAATGCCTTATGCAAGGTCAAACACCTCATAAGCGGCAGAGCAAATTCAGGCCTGGGCCTTCCAGATCAGAATCCATATTCATAGCCACACTACACTCTGAAACTCTTTTCATAGGGACTGGCCCTTAGCAAGTGCACAATGAATGTGGGTTGTTTGAAGCCATATTCTTTTCTTTTCTTTTCTTTTTTTTTTTTTTTTTTTTTTTTTTTTTTTTTTTTTTGGAGATAGGGTCTTGCTATGTTGTCCAGGCTAGAATGCAGTGGTGTAATAATAGCTTACTGCAGCCTCAACCTCCTGGGCTCAAGCAATTCTCCTGCCTCAGTTTCCCAAGTAGCTGGAACCACAGGTGGGCACCACCACACTTGGCTAATTTTAAAAAATTGTTTTTGGTACGGAGGGGGTCTGGTATTGTTACCTAGGATGGTCTTGAACTCCTGGCCTCAAGAGATCCTCCTGCCTCAGCCTGCCAACGTGCTGGAATTACAGGCGTGAGCCGCTGCACCTGGCCTGAAGCCGTTTCTGTGTTTCTATGTCAAGACTTGCTGAACAGCTGTATATTTTCCAAGTCACCGCAAAACCCAGATCCCAGTTCTTAGCTCCCTCTGGGTTTTCCCAAGCCTTTTGCCCTTTCCTGGAAGCAGGACTAGGGACTATTTGTGGGTTCCTCATCCCACCTGAGCTGGAGGAACACAAGGGTTCAAGGTCTAGTACCATGGACAGTGCCCCCATTTGCCTTCCCCAACTCTTTTCTCCTACTTCTTAAGGGTCCTAAATTATTTTGACTAAGCTTCTGAGCCACCCACAAACCACTTCATCCTACCCTTTCTTAGCTTCTGTGTAACATGTAGGATAAGGCACAGGGGAGGAAACTTTCTGCTTTCTATCCCCTTTAATAACATCCTTGGTGAACTTCTGTCTAGATCACCAGTTTCTGACACCACAGTGTCTTCTGGTGACGTCGCCCCTCCTCACTATCATTTATCCCCGTGGTATAAACCTATTCCCTTACCACATTAAGAAAAAAACTTAGGGCCGGGCGCGGTGGCTCACGCTTGTAATCCCAGCACTTTGGGAGGCTGAGGCGGGCGGATCACAAGGTCAGGAGATCGAGACCATCCTGGCTAACACAGTGAAACCCCATCTCTACTAAAAATACAAAAAATTAGCCGGGCGCGGTGGCGGGCGCCTGTGGTCCCAGCTACTTGGGAGGCTGAGGCAGGAGAATGGCGTGGGCCGGGGAGGCGGAGCTTGCAGTGAGCCGAGATCTCGCCACTACACTCCAGCCTGGGCGACAGAGCGAGACTCCATCACAAAAAAAAAAAAAAAGAAAAAAAAGAAAAAAACTAAGGCAAATACTCTAGAGGCCTTGACATCCCATGAGATTTGTTAAGAAAAGTACACCAGGCTGGGCACAATGCCTCACACCGTAATCCCAGCACTTTGGGAGGCTGAGGTGGGTGGATTGCTTGAGCCCAGGAGTTCAAGACCAGCCTGGGCAACATAGTGAGACCCCCATAGCTACAAAAATTACAAAAATTAGCTGGGCATGGTGGTGGGCGCCTGTAGTCCCAGCTACTCAGGAGACTGAGGTGGGAGAACTTCTTGAGCCTGGGAGCTCCAGGCTGCAGTGAGCTGTAATCATGCCACTGCACTCCAGTAGTGACAGAGTGAGACCCATCGAAAAAAAAAGAAAAGTACCCCAGGCCGGGCACAGTGGCTCACGCCTCTTGGGAGGCTGAAGTGGGAGGATCATGAGGTCAAGAGATCGAGACCATCCTGGCCAACATGGTGAAATCCCATCTCTACTAAAAATACAAAAGTTAGCCGGGCATGGTGGTGCATGCCTGTAGTCCCAACTACTTGGGAGGCTGAGGCTTGAGAGTCACTTGAACCCAAGAGGCAGAGGTTGCAGTGAGCCGAGATCATGCCACTGCACTCCAGCCTGGCAACAGAGTGAGACTCTGTAAAAAAAAAAAAAAAAAAAAAAAAGGACCCCAAAAAGGATTTCACTGGGTCAAAGTTACCCAACCCAACGACTAAGCTCAAATACTAAAGTAAGAGAGAAACTTTCACATGAGACTTCAGAGAACTGCTCTGGAACCACAAGACCTTAGCCTAGTTGGTGGTTTCAACAAAACATAGTTGAGGCAAGATCCCAGTTGAGTCTCCACTCAATTTGGCCTGGGATACCTGTAGGACCTGCCCATTGAACCAATGTTGAGAAACAGCATAGAGTCACTAGATGCCTAGATAGAGATGCCTCAGTCTCATCACTAGGAAAGGACTCTACGGCCAGGCATCGTGGCTCATGCCTGTAATCCCAGAATTTAGGGAGGTCAAGACAGGAGGATTGCTTGAGGCCAGGAGTTTGAGATCAGCCTGGGTAACATAGTGTGACCTTGTCTTTACAAAAACTTAAAAAAATAGCCAGGTGTGGTAGTGCATGCCTGTAGTCTCAGCTACTTGGGAGGCTGAGGCTCCCAAGGATCCCTTCAGCCCAGGAGTCTGAGGCTGCAGTGAGCTATGATCATGTCACTGTACTCCAGCCTGGGTGACAAAGTGAGACCCTGTCTTTTAAAAAAAAAAAAAAGCTAAAAAAAAAAAAAGGACTGGGTGTGTTGGCTCACACCTGCAATCTCAGCACTTTGAGAGGCCAAGGCAGGAAGATAGCTTGAAGCCAGGAGTTCAAGACCAGCCTGGGCAACATAGCAAGACCACATCTCTATTTTTTTTAAAAAAATTAGCCAGGCATCGTGGTGCATACCTGTAGCCCCAGCCACTCAGGAGACTGAGGTGGGAGGATTGCTTGAGCCCAGTAGCTCAAGGTTACAGTGAGCTATGACTGCATCACTGCACTCCAACCTGAGTGACAGAATGAGACTCTGTCTTAGAAAAAGAGAGAAAGGACTGTAGTCACATTCTCTTGAGGCTTCTAATAATATGTTTAGAATAATTCACATGGTCTGAGACTCACATACCGATGACCTCTTCCCCTAGCTGTGTTCTCACCTGGGAAGAGGATGCGGCTAACCATCCCAGGGAACACCATTATGAAGAGGGGCAGCACCTTCAGGTACGCAGCCATCAGAGCACCTCCTTTGGCATGGGACAGGTTCTTGGCAGCCAGGGTCCGCTGGACAATCACCTGGAAAAGATCAAGGGGGTTGGAAACTGGGAATGCTGATACGGTTTGGCTGTGTCCCCACCCAAATCTCATCTTGAATTGTAGCTCCTATAATTCCCACATGCTGTGGGAGGGAGCCAGTGGGAGATAATTGAATCATGGGGGCAGTTTCCCCCCATACTGTTCTCATGGTAGTGAATATGTCTCATGAGATCTGATGGTTTTATAAGGGGAAACCCCTCTCACTTGGCTCTCATTGTGTCTTTGCCTGCTGCCATCCATGGAAGACGTGACTTGCTCCTTCTTGCCTTCTGCCATGATTGTGAGGCCTCTCCAGCCATGTGGAACTGTGAGTCCATTCACCCTCTTTATAAATTACCCAGTCTCGGGTATGTCTTTATCAGCAGTGTGAGAATGGACTGTATTAAAAGACTTTCTCTTAAGGCAAAAAGGGTGTGTTTAGCCTCTTGGTAGGTGTAGGAGACTCAGGATCTTGGTTTACCACGCTTGTGTTTGAAGAAACATCTCTTTCCTATGCTCAGTCCCTGTGGTCTAATTCAGGTAGCTAAGACACCCACCCCATTCCCTCCCTACTCTTTTATCCAGGGGTTATGCCTGGCCAGTTAAAGTCCTCCACAGAATTATTCCACCTCTCTGGCTACCATGATCCATTAAGGAAAAGCATGTCCCCAAGGCAATCCAACCACATCTCTCCATGGAATTTCTTCCTTAAAAAGGCAAAGGAGGCCAGGTGCAGTGGCTCACATCTGTAATCCCAGCACTTTGGGAGGCTGAAGCAGGAGGATTGCTTGGGGCTGGGAGTTTGAAACCAGCCTGGCCAACATGGTGGAACCCCATCTCTATAAAAAATACAAAAATTAGCTGGGTGCATTGGTGTACGCTTGTAATCCCAGCTACTTGGGAGGCTGAGACAGGAGAATCACTTGAACCCAGGAGATGGAGGTTGCAATGAGCCAAGATCGTACCACTGCACTCCAGCCTGGGTGATAGAGTGAGACTCTGTCTCAAAAAAAAAAAGAAAGAAAAGAAAAGAAAAGGAAAGAGGTTTCCTAACTCCTGGTGCCTCCTTTGCAATTGCTAACTGTGAACGAGGTGTAGAGCTGCTGGCTGCATCTCTGCCATCATAAGGGATGGCCTCTTTGAAACTAAGTCATCACAGAGAAAAGAAAACCAGGAAATGGAGAGAAAGACAATGTGTGATGATGTAGTATCAGAGACAGGCAGTCTGGGTTCAAATCCTACCTCCCCACTTCCCACCTATCTGACCTTGGGCAAGCAGCTTCACCTCTCTTGGCCTCTGTTTCCTCATTTATGAAATGAGCATAATACCAGCGCAGTTTTGAAAATTAGAGAAGTGAAAGTACTTAGAATACTTAGAATATGACACACAGTAACTGCTTCGTAAATATTAGTTGTTTCCATTGTCATTAACCACCTCTGGACTCCCCATCATGTAAGTTTTAAAAAATGCTTTTTTTTTTTTTTTTTTAAGAGATGGGGTCTCACTCTGTTGCCCAGGCTGAAATGCAATGATGTGATCATAGCTCAATTATGCAATGATGTGATCATAGCTCACTGCAGCCTCAAAGTCCTGGGTTCAAATGATCCTCCCGCCTCAGTCTTTCAAGTAGCTGGGACAATAGGCATGAATCACCACACTGAGCTAATTTGTAAAATTTTTACTTAGAGATGGGGTCTTGCTATATTGCTATATTGAGGAGGCTGGTCTTGAACCCCTGGCTTCAAACAGTCCTCCTGCCTCAGTCCCCCAAGTAGCTATGTCACCACGCTTGGCTACATTTTACGTTTATTTTTATTTTTTTGTAGAGACAGACTCTCACTATGTTGCTCAGGCTGGTCTCCAACTCCTGACGTCAAACAACCCTCCTGCCTCAGCCTCCCAAAGTGCTGGGATTATAGGCCCAGAAAAAAAGAGCCTTTTTATCCTTAAACTATTTTTTCCACACAAACAACTAAATGAGTCCTCACTAAATCATCCAAGAACCCTTAATGAGAAGAGTGTAGTGAGGTAAGACTTGCTGCAAACCCCATACCACAGCCCCAATAATTATTTTAGATTTCACAGCACATTTTGGTGGGGAGAGAGATGTCACCTGGGGCAGCATTACATCTGCAGAATTCATGGGACTGAACCTTGTCAGAGACAGTTGCCCGAAGGCATCAATATGCTCCAGGACAGTGTGAAATATGCAGTTTTTGTTAATGACCTAACTGCATTAGCAGTGAGACAAACCGGGCTTAGTGGACACGTTTCAAGGACAGGTACCCATGCCCACTGGACACAACACATTCAGCCAGTCAGAATTCAAAAAAGCTCTGATCACAAGCTGGCCATCCAACGGAGGGGTCCCCTCCCTCCCTTCCCTTCCCCTCCCCTCTCCTCTCCTGTCCTCTCCTTTCCTGTTTCCTCTCCTCTCCTCTCCTTTCCTATTTTTTCTTTTCTTTTCTTTTTTGAGATGAAGTCTCGCTCTGTCACCCAGGCTGGAGTGCAGTGGCGCGATCTCGGCTCACTGCAAGCTCCGCCTCCCGGGTTCAGCCATTCTCCTGCCTCAGCCTCCCGAGTAGCTGGGACTACAGGCTTCTGCCACCACGCCCAGCTAATTTTTTGTTTTTTTGGTAGAGATGCTTTTTAGTTTCACCATGTTAGCCAGGATGGTCTCGATCTCCTGACCTCGTGATCCGCCCGCCTCGGCCTCCCAAAGTACTGAGATTACCGGTGTGAGCCACTGTGCCTGGCTAAGTGGTTCTTAATAAGTAACATCTCAGTTGTGGGGGAAAAAGTGAGCTGAGAGGAATGAAAATGCAATCTGAATATGTGGGGAGGAGGGCTTATGGTTAGCTACGTCAGCCATCTGTTATGGCATCTGTCATCTAGCCACCTTATCTTTCCTTGCTTTTTCCACAATAATCATGTACAATTTTTCCCTTCCTTGATGTGGGAAAGGAGGAGGGAGAGCTGTCATGGTGGAGCACGGTGACCAGGGAGCAGGCGTCTGCACAGAAATGCAGCTGGGGGTGGGTTCCCAGAATTGAGAGCATCCAATAGGTGCGGTACAATGAATGAATGGAGCGATTGAAAGTGCAGACGGACTTAGGTGTGAATCCGCCCACCAGCTCTTTGTGATCTCGGATGAGTTCCTTAACCTTTCCAGGCTCAGCTCTCTCATCTGTAAAATGGGGATGATAACTGTGCTTGCTTTTCAGGTGTCTAGCAGCTCTTTAGCAAAGACGGCAGTCATGATTATTGTCATTGTCATCATTACCGCTGTTGTGAGATGAAACCAGAGAAAGAAGTTCCAACAGGTCAACGAAATAGAAATAGATGAGAGTAGGATTAGATCAGAAACTGGATCAGAGAGCTGTAGGTCAGAAGTACAGAAATCTGTCTGGGCACGGTGGCTCATGCCTGTAATCCCAGCAGTTTGGGAGGCCGAGGTGAGTGGATCACTTGAGGTCAGGACTGGTGACTAGCCTGGCCAACATAGCAAAACTCTATCTCTACAAAAAATACCAAAGATTAGCTGGGCGTGAGGGTGCATGCCTATCGTCCCAGCTACTCAGGAGGCTGAGGCATGAGAATTGCTGGAACCCAGGAGGCAGAGGTTGCAGTGAGCCGAGATTGCACCACTGTACTCCAACCTGGGCGACAGAGAGAGACTCTGTCTCAAAACTAATAATAATAATAAATAATAAAAATAAATAATAAAAAGGAAGTTCAGAAACCTGAAAAGAGTAAACATTGGTTCAATAAAGGAAGGAGGAAGATGGTCTCGGGGGAATACCTGGGCAGGTGAAATTGTCTCTGGCTGGTTTTTACAAATGACTTTTTCCCAGTGGCAGAATGGGTCAACAGTCTTGTTTTGTTTTGTTTGTTTTTGAGACACAGTGTTGCTCTGTTGCCCAGGCTGGAATTACAGGCATGAGCCACTGTGCCCGGCATGATTAATTAATTTTTTGAGATGGAATCTCACTTTGTTGCCCAGACTGGAGTGCAGTGGCATGATCTCGGCTCACTGCAACCTCCACCTCCTGGGTTCAAGTGATTCTCTTGCCTCAGCCTCCTGAGTAGCTGGGATTACAGGTGCCCGCCACCACATCTGTCTAATTTTTTTTCTTTTGTATTTTTAGTAGAGACGGGGTTTTGCCATGTTGGCCAGACTGGTCTCAAACTCCTGACTTCAGGTGATCCACTTGCCTTGACCTCCCAAAGTGTTGGGATTACAGGCGTGAGCCACCGCACCCGGCCGTGTCTATTAAATTTAAAGCCCATGATGTTAGCCTGGATCAGTCCTGTTTCTCAGGGTGTCTCCTATCTGAGATTTGCTAAGGAGGTGAAGGCGGTCTCTCTCTTAAAGGGGCAGTACATGTGCATTGCTCTCATCACTGCCTTGGTCGTTAGCTCTTAGCTCAAAGGAGGGCTGCCCTATGGATGGGACCTGGGTTTCATTTTCTGTGAAGTCTCCTGCATCAAATCAATTGTTCAATGCCATGATTATTGCTTTAATTAAACTCTCATCAGCCCTCACTATGCAGTATAACTCCCCAAGTGATACATAGGCCTCTGATGTTTCATGTAACAGAAAAAGAATATTTGAACACGTGATACATTCACTCAGTTTAAAATCCGAGAAAATATAATATGCAGTGAATCAGCTCCCACTCATCCTTCCCACCTGCCCTGCCTCCCTGCCCACAGGTATCCACTCTTCTTAGTTTTGTATACATCTGTCCAGAGTTTATGCGCATATAAGCAAACGCAAATATTGATTCTATTCTTTTTTTTTTTTTTTTTAAACACAAAAGGGCTTCTTGTACACATGGCTCTGCGTTTTGATTTTCTCCTCTCTTTTTTCACGCCAGTTATATATCTACCTTTGCTCTGAGTGTGCCTTCTGCTGCAAACTCTTCCTCCAAAAATCACGGGGAGCTCTCGCTCTTCTACAAAGTCTTTGGTCAAAGGTCACTTCTCAATGACACCTCCCCTAAGCACCCTACATTATTTGAGACAGAGTCTTGCTGTCTCAGGCCTGTTGCCCAGGCTGGAGTGCAGTGGTGCAATCTCAACTCACTGCAGCTTTGACCTCCTGGGTTCCAGCGATCCTCCCACCTCAGCCTCGCAAATAGCTGGGACTCCAGGCGCACACCACCATGCCTGGCTAATTTTTAATTTTCTTTTAGAGACAGGGTCTCACTATGTTGCCCAGGTTGGTCTCAAACTCCTGGACTCAAGTGAGCCTCCCACCTCAGCCTCCCAAAGTGCTGAGATGAGAGGTGTGAGCCACC